GGCTTCAAACAAGCTTCTACACCCCTAGCCTCCAACACATGTGCATATATGGATAGGTACCGTTCTATGTAGATAATATATGTGTAACACCCCTCCACCTGTCTTTGGGCGCCCGAGTTATCCGGGGTAACTCGGGTCCGGGGTAACTCGGGTTTGGATTCCCGAAAAAGGAACCCGAGTTATCCCTGACCCGAGTTACCCCTGATGATTCGGGGCTCTGGACGCCCGAATTATCCGGGGTAACTCGGGTCCGGGGTAACTCGGGTTCGGATTCCCGAAAAACGAACCCGAGTTATCCCTGACCCGAGTTACCCCTGATGATTCGGGGCTCTGATGTCTATTAGTACATACGCCTGTGTGCCACCAAAACCAGTCAGCTTGGTCGGCATGTTTTGCACCCTGGCGCCGGAGCCGGGCGTGGAGAGGAGCTCCGCATAGAGGTCGAGCCCGGCGAGACAGTCGGACCCGGTGAGTGCGCGCACCGCGGCCTTCAGCTCCCGCGCGAAGTCCGAGGGAGCGATCCCCGCGTGCCACCCGAACACGATGCTCTCCGCCTCGGCTGCTGGCGAACCACTCTGCAGGCGAGGGTCGCTGTGCGAAGGTCTCTGTGTGAGGGAGGGAAGGGTCAGAGAGTCGACCCTGCCCGAGATCCGTAGGATGGAGGCGATCGAGGTTGTTTCCTATCCCTAGGACAGCATCTCATGTGTCAACTCCTACACCCTGCGAAATGCTTAAGAAATCATGGGTTAAGAAATTCATAGTCTCAGAACTGGAGTAAAAACCCAAAATGTCCATTCAAATCTTAGGATTTTCATTGAAACATTAAGAATAATCGAGACTCTGGCCGAAAACTTGGGTTTTCTTAAGCATCGCCTAAGGTGTAGGCCGAAGGGGCCGCGGATGATGAGAGGACGCACGTAAGAGAGGGTAAAAACACAACTTAGGCCAGGAATCCCCGGGCCAGCCGTGCCACGCTCCTGCGGCGACTCTCCCGTTCTGCCTCTCCTCGCTCCGGCCGCGCCCGGCGTTCCGGGCGTCGGGCGCGTCGTGGCCTGCAGCTCGGACCCGCCGCACTTCTTGCCTGGCCGCAGAATTCGAGGAAGGGCGATGAGACCACGGCGGCCAGCTGCGCTCATAATCTGTCCCCAGACCCCTCGTGGGGTCCATCCTGGCCCGTTTCTCGAGGCGGATCCAGTCGCGACGGCGGGAGGCCTCCGGGTGGCCCCCCAAAAGAGGACGGAACACGCCTGGGAGGGCCGCCGTTGTCTCGAGACTGGCCCTTCTTCGAAGAATATGGCCGGCCCATGAGGCCTCCAGAAAGCGTGAGGCGAGGGCAAGCCAGCGGGGACGAGGTGAGCCCAACGACAGGCCCAAATCCTTGCCCCCCCGTGCTCTCCGCAGCCTCTGCCGGCGACAGCGCAGGTGGGGGTCGCTTCATCGACCCTGCCTCCTGCGTGGGGGAAGGGGGCCGCCACTGCTCGGCACGAAGCGGGAGCCGCTAGACATGGACAGCGGTCATCTGCGCCACCGCTGGAGGTGAGCACGCTCGTCTTACAAGTTAGCAACAACTTCAAGGATGGAACAATGTTCTGTTCAAAACGTGGCTTCCGCCATAATTAGCGCCGCGCACATTCGTCTGAAAACGTGTGCAACACGCTCAAGGGTTCGTATGGTTGAAGTCCCACGAACGGTGCTAATGCACGGTTCAGGGTTGTCAGGGCACAACAGGAACGTCGATTCGCGGTGTGAGTCCTACAAACGATGCTCTGGGACAGTTTAGGAACGTCAGGGCGCAACAGTCACGTCGATCCGAGGTGCTGACATCCCAGGAACGGTGCTTGGCACGATGAAACATTCTCAGACTGATGCCTTGTAATGGGCCGCTTCCCGCAACGAAAACAAATTATTGTGAGGGACGCCTGTCCTCCTCCTCCTCCTCGTGCTTCCTTCTTCACTCCCTCCCTCCCTTTCTCCTCCTCCATCCCTTTCCTGAGAAATAGTCAATGCTCCTTGTCCGACTTCGAGACGTGTCGGTAGGGCGGGTCGTTTCAAACTGTGGCTCTCGCCCTGACGCCGGGAACACATGGAGGACGAGCCGTTTTCAAAATATGGCTCTCGCTGTAGCGCCGCACACATTCGTCCTAAAAGTTTGCAGCAGCTTCAAGGATGGAGGGTGGTTCCTTTTCAACATGTGGCTCTCGCCATAGCGCTGCGCGCATTCGTCTTTCAATCTTGCAGCAACTTCAAGCATGGAGAGCGGTTCCTTTTCAGCATGTGACTCTCGCCTTAGTGCCGCGCGCATTCGTCTCCAACATTTGCAACGCTCTCAAGGATTCGTATGGTTGAAGTCCCAGGAACGCTGCTATTGCACGGTTTACGGTTGTCAAGACACAGCAGTAGTGCTGACTCACGGTGTTGGAATCACGGTGTTCTGGCACGCTTTAGGACTGTCAGGGCGCAACGGTCATGTTGACCCGCGGCGTGGAAGAACCAGGCATGGAGTTGTGGCACGATTGATGATTATCAAACGGTTGTCTTCCAACTTCTAACGGGCCATATCCCGAAATGAAAACACATGCTTGTAGGCCCCTGTGAACGGGGGAAACTGTAGGAACAATTTATGGTTTACACTTGGTGTTACACCTGGTTCTCCTCCTCCCCCTTGGTGTTACACTGGTTCTCCTCCTCCCACTCATCTCGGGACGGGCAAAAGGGGGGGTAACAAAGGGGGGGTTTGAGAATCAGCTGACGTAGCTGATTTTCCCGGCGGCGCCGGAGGCGGCCATGTATCGAGGACTAAGTCCCTCGGTGGGGCCGAAACTAGCTGTGTGCAGCAGATTTCGTACCCCCCCCTTTCCCGATCCCCCCCCCCTTTCGTCCGGCGCGAGCATCCTCCTTCTCCTGCTCCTCCTTCTCCTCCTTCCCCTCCCCAGACCACTACGCAACCACAGCTCGAGGGCTCTTTGGCCTCGTCGCGCGTCCCGCGCGCAGCGCGGCTTCGACCGTGCGCGCTGCCGCCTCCACCTCGAGCACCGCCCCACCTCCGTGCACGCCGGCCGGTCCCGTGCGGGCACCGCGCCCGCGTGTGCACCGGGCGACGGGTCGGGCACAGCCAACGCCGTTCGGCGCGCACCACCTTCACCTCTCCTCCTCCTCCTCCTCCTCCTCCTCCTCCTCCTCCTCCTCCTATTCCTCCTCCTCCTCCTCCTCCTATTCCTCCTCCTCCTACTATTCCTCCTCCTCCTCCTCCTCCTCCTCCTCCTCCTCCTCCTCCTCCTCCTATTCCTCCTCCTCCTCCTCGTCCTCCCCCTCGTTGTGAAGCAATCACCATGGGAAGCTTTTGGCAGTGTGCGGCCTCCGAGGGGCCCTCGCCGGGCCTCGGGGCCGTCAGCAAAACGAGTCGGGATGAAGCCTTTGCCGTCGGCGGCGAGGCGGCAGAGATCCGCACCAGCGTCGGGCGAATCGGGGGCACGCAAGCAAGCAAGCAAGAGACTGCGTGCACAAAACGGCACACTAGTACGGGACAAAAAGTTGACCGCCGTTATGTCAGTATTCCTTCACAACGGCTTCCCACTCACTCTGCGGCCTGTGGCTCAGCAGTGTGTTGAGCCTCTCTTCATTGCCAGCAGCTGCAAGCGCGTGCTTGAAAACACACTTCGCTAATCGGGGGCACCGGTAGGCAAATTGTCCGGCGTGCAAGAGAACGAGAGGGGGAACTCGGGACGAAGCACCAAGACTGGGGAAAAGGTCCAGACCTCTGAGGGTCCGCGTTGCAAAGGGACCGTCAACAAAACGACCCAGGATGAGACACCAGTCCTTGGGAAAGGGTCCAGACATCTGCAGGTCCGCGCTGCGAAGCAAAAGAACGACGTCTGAAATCTGGGGCGTGCCTGGGCGAGAGGTGAAGATTGGGCGCATTCAGCTCGACCAGCCTTCACCTCTCTAGACTCGCAGAGTAACTACTCGCAAATAGTCTGGCTCCACCGCGAGGGATCCATGATCCATTGCGTCGGAGGCAAGTCTGTTTTTCCCAACCATCCTGTGGTGTTGGGTCCTCGTTTTGAAGAACAGCGCCCCGCGTCTCACCTCCTCCCGCTGCCCCCTCCCTCCTCTCCCTCCTCCCTCCTCCCATCCGCCTAGTCATCGTCATCGTCAACGTCATCGTCATCGTCATCGTCATCGTCATCGTCATCGTCATCGTCATCGTCATCGTCGTCATCATCATCATCATCATCATCATCATCATCATCATCATCATCATCATCATCACCATCACCATCACCATCACCATCACCATCACCATCATCATCATCATCATCATCATCATCATCATCATCATCATCATCATCATCATCATCATCATCATCATCATCATCATCATCATCATCATCATCATCATCATCATCATCATCATCATCATCATCATCATCATCATCATCATCATCGCCATCGTCATGATCCACATCAGCATGATCATCAACATCGCCATCGTCAGCGCCGCGCCCCTCACACGGTTCGTGGCCCCATAAGGAGCTCCACCGAAGGCCTCAGCGGGAGCGTCCGCATGGCACCGCCGCCAAATTTCGACACACTCCTCACACGGTTCGTGGCCCCATAAGGAGCTCCACCGGAGGCCCCAACGGTAGCGCCCGCATGGCACCGCCGCCCCATTTTGGCGCACTCCTCACACCGTTCGTGGCCCCATAAGGAGCTCCGCCGAAGGCCTCAGCGGGAGCGTCCGCATGGCACCGCCGCCCCATTTCGGCACACCCCTCCCTTCACATGGTTCGTGGCCGCATAGGGAGCTCCACCGGAGGCCCCAGCGGGAGCGTCCGCAAGGCACCGCCGCCCTGTTTGGCACACCCTCACACGGTTCGTGGCCCCAGAAGGAGCTCCGCAGAAGGCCCCAGCGGGAGCGTCCGCATGGCACGGGCCGCGCACGGGGCTCGGGCGAAACAAAGAAGACTCCCCGCTCGCTCGCGTCAGCTCTTCTCCCCCGCATGCACGCCGCAGTCCTTTTTGCTGCCCCCCCCTCCTTCGTCTCCTCTCCCTCGCGGTACTCGCAGCAACATATGGTTGGGTCCTTCGTCTGGCTATTTTTTGGACACTTCGCGAGTAGTGGAACGCGCCCGGTGACTCTCCCCATGTCCTCGTACGTTCAGATCCCGCCTCGCGTTCTTGGGTGCCTGCGCACTTCGGTACCTGAGGGAAGACATGATCCAACTTCAACCAACATTAGCTTCCGACTTCCGCTTAACTCGGGTACCACGTCTGGCGAAGTATGTCATGCATCGTCGGCATGCTCCCGTCGGTGATTTGCTCTCTTGTCCTTTCTTCGGCGGCGCGCCCAGGGGGGAATGCACAAGGGGCGGGCTTTCTCAGAAAGCTGCACAGACCCCCCGGCCTTCCGAGAAGCTACTGGGCCTTCTTCGAGGCCACAAGAGGCTTCTCTGAAGGGGCCCTGGGACACACAAATAAATACACACAAATAAATGATTCCCCATATTTTCTCATATTTTCTGGGTTTTTGTCTTCCCGCCCAACTCCCATATATTTCTAGGAATCGACGATTAGTTGTGTCTGTGTTATTTTTTTCCCCCCTCCTGATTCTCAGAGGGCCCGCGGGCTTCTGAGAAGCCACGTCACCCTCTGAGAAGGCCTGCTCCCTCTCTCTTCCCCCCCTCGGCGCGCCACAGATCCCCAGTGCCCAAGACACTGTTCTTCCACGCGCGGCGGCCCAATGGTGACGGGGGCGTGCATCGTCTCAGACGCAACCGCGTCCTGCGTTCTCCCCTCCTCCTCCTCCTCCTCCTCCTCCTCCTCCCTCCTCCTCCTCCTCCTCCTCCTCCTCCTCCTCCTCCTCCTCCTCCTCCTCCTCCTCCTCCTCCTCCCCCTCCTCCTCCTCCTCCTCCTCCTCCTGACGAAACCGCGTCCTGCGTTCTCCCCCCTCGAGGATGACCAAACGCCCAGTTCACTGACGAGCAGGAGAAGCGGTCGACGGACCGTCTTCAATGCACTCACCCTGACATCATGTTCACCGCACCTACCTTCGATACGGTCATCTTGCAGTCACCAAGTGTACAATCATGGTGCAGTCAGGCGCCACACACTTACTTATTGGTACTGCCACCTTGGGTTCTCTCAACTGAAGCGCCCTTTGCAACTTTGGGCGCAACTGCTTCGAAGGGCTACTTCTGTTACAAACATCTGCGGCACAGTCGCCTTACGCTCATCATTAGTAGTCACCCTGTGTGCAACAAACAATACTACACAAGGCTACTGCGAATGTAATCCACATGTAATGTACCAGCGCATATGCAGACACCAGTGCGGATGCATCTGCAAGCCAACGTTGCGCTTTCTCCAGTTCTGCCATGCCAGCTGTCGCAAGCCACTGCCTACGTACGTCCCGCCTCCGGCGCCCCACCTGGTGCGCTCCGCACGCCAGGAGGGAGGGAGGGAGGGAGGGAGGGAGGGAGGGAGGGAGGAGGAGGAGGAGGAGGAGGGGGAGGAGGAGGAGGATGAGGAGGAGGAGGAGCAGGGGATGGGCTCCAGCGCCAATCCGAGAAATCCGCGCGGACACCCAGAAGTTTGGTTTGTGCAGCGGTTTGCTCCCCCTACTGCAGCAGACGATGGCTGCGCTGCGTTGGGATTGTGGCCTCGGGACGTGGCCTGGGTTGAAGGGCAACGATAAGGGGGGGGATAGGCACAGGGGGGATGCATCGACCTGGAATCGGCGATACGTCGCCGACAGATCGGCGACAGGCCTCCGAGAGTGAAATCCGCACCTTCCTGGGCAGGTTCGATCGAGCATCGGCGATCCCCCCCCCCCTGTGCCTATCCCCCCCCCTATCGTTGCCCCCGATGTGTGGCCGTGCCCGCCTGGCGCCAGCGTGGAACGGGCAGTTTTTAAGCGGCGGCGACCGCGTGGCCAGGGTGTCCCGCTGCAGGGGTCCTTCGGCCGTCCGGCGCTCCGGCCGAGGGCCGGCGCGGAGCGCCTTCCCCGTTCGGACGCGCGCAGAAGGGGGCATGGGGCAGGGGGGGAGGGCTTCTTAGAAGCAGCCCTGCTCCTCAGAAGGCGCGGGCCTTCTCTGCAGATGTGTGAGGCCCGCGCCCTCTGAGAAGCGGCCTCCTTCTAGGAAGCCTTCCCCCCTCCCCCTTAGGGAGCCCACAAAGGACGTACGCGCCCAGCTATGTACATGAACACGGCCCCTTGACCCTCGAGACCTGCCGCGCGATACGAACATTCGCGCAATGCGAACTCTCGAAACCAGCGTGGATTCATGTACATGTACGTCCTTCTTTCGCTCCTGACCCCGTTCGGACGCGCGCAGAAGGGGGTATGGGGCAGGGGGGGAGGGCTTCTTGGAAGCAGCCCCGCTCCTCAGAAGGCGCGGGCCTCCTCTGCAGATGTGTCAGGCCCGCGCCCTCTGAGAAGCAGCCTCCTTCTAGGAAGCCTTCCCCCCTCCCCCTTAGGGAGCCCACAAAGGACGTACGCGCCCAGCTATGTACATGAACACGGCCCCTTGACCCTCGAGACCTGCCGCGCGATGCGAACATTCGCGCAATGCGAACTCTCGAAACCAGCGTGGATTCATGTACATGTACGTCCTTCTTTCGCTCCTGACCCCTATCCCCCTTTGTGCGCGGCGCCTTCCCCGTGCCTCCGCGGCCCCCGCGTCGCCCAGGGCTCCCAACTTCGCGCTTCGCGCTGCGCGAAGCGCGAATAACTTCGCGCTCTCGCGCCGCCCTCCCAAAAGGAGAATAGGAGGACGAGGAGGAGGGGGAGAAGGAGCGACGACCGCGAAGCGCGAAGCGCGAATAACTTCGCGCCCTCGAGGGAGCCCTTGCCGCCACCTCTGGCACCCTGCACCGGGCGGTCGGCCACGGAGCGGGGGGCCCCCCCTGCGCGGGCCGCCGCTGTGGCCTGACCGGAGGTCCGGGCGCTGCGGCTCGTTCGCACGGGGTGCCGTCGCCGAGCTTCGGGCCCCGGGGATCTCGATTTCCAAGGAGTGGACTCCAGAACACTTTTTCTCACGGAAGCCCGGATTCCAGAACACTTTTTCTCACGGGAAACATCTCGTATGTTCCCGAACGGCACGTTCGGAAAGTCTGTGTCCGGTCGAGCCAGCTTTGGTTGACGCAAGCATGTCTTCATGCTGTTGTCGTCGCCACCTCGCATCGACCAGGCTCGACAAGTGCTGAAGAAAGAGGGGGTCCAGGGCTCCAGCCTTGACTTGCCAGGGTGCTGCAATTCTTTTCGCTACGCCCTTCTGCTTCGGGGCCCCAAAACCGCCTGGTGACGGACTGCATGGTGGCCTCGGAATCCCCAACGACCCCACCGCGCGGTCCGTCACCGCACGGTCTTGGGACCTCGGAAGCCCCATTTGCCTGAGACGTCTTCGGAGAACGACCCGAGTCCCAAAACCGTGCGGTGACCCCTAATCCCAATTAACTCACCACGCGGTGTGGTCACCACACCGTTTGCGGGCCCCGCATCTGCGGCCCAAGAGAGCGCACGATCGACCGCACGGCCGAGCGATCGCCACGGCAAGCGCTCGTTATGCAGCCTCGGCGACTGGCGCTGAGCTCACCGCTCCGTGCACGAGCTCCACCTCCCTCTCCGACATCCGCGCAGTGGCGCCGGCGCCCCCTGAAGCCGCATACGGCTGTCGCACCAGGGCAGCGCAGCGGCGCAGAGGAAGGATTGTACGATGAGAGCAGTGGAGTTAAGGAACCCTTGAATAAGGAACCGTCGACGACAGTCATCACGTTGATGAGGTGCGTTTGCGCGCGCGCACATTCGTCCACATACGCTTGGCCCGAGGTATCTGCTGGCCCCCTTGTGGGGCCATCAGGCTGCGAGGCTTAGGTTTCAATACTCTGCACCAGTTTCCGTTTCCAGTCTCCAGTGTTGCAGTCCTGCTTTGTGCTTCCTGGTGTAAATTGTTGAAGTCCGCGCGAGGGGGGGCCGAAAGCCATCCGGTTACCCTCACCGAGTTGGGTGCTCTGAATTCCTGCGGGGCCGTGGGACAGGTAACATGATCGACCCACGAACCTGGAAAGGAATATAGAACTGTAACGCATGGCAAGGTTTTCAAAGACACCTGATTGGGTGACGGGCAAATGCAATGCTGAGTGTATCGATCTTGATGTACTCTGCCGAGGGCTGTGCTGTGCTGTGCCGTGCTGAATTGCGATGTGCCATGCCGCGATTGTGCTCTTTTGCATTGTGGATCGAGTCCTCCTTTGCATCCGAGTCCTGATCGAACTGATCTGGATCTTAAGCTCGAGCTGCCTGAACACATAGTAGCTGCCCCAGAGCTAATTGACAAGGGGACATGCCAGGAGAACGCGCCGCCAAACTTCCCGAGGGATGCGCCAGGCGACGTGCCAGGGGACGTGCCATGGGGTCGCACCGCGGGACGTGCCAAGGGAACGCGCTACGGAACGTGCCAATGGATGTGCCACGGGATGTGCCAAGGGACGCGCCACGCGACGTGCCAGGGGGACTCGCCAAGGGACGCCCCACGGAACGTGACAAGGAACGTGCTCCAAAATCACGCTGCGCCCCCGCTCCAGCTGTCACGACCTCTCATAAATTACGCTGCGTCCGCATTCCTAGGGCCACGAACCTTGACAATTCACACTGCGCCCGCGCTCCAAGGGCCCCGATCCCTCGTATATTACACTGGGGTCGCGCTCCCAGGGCCCCGACCCCTCGTAAATTACGCTGCGCCCGCACTCCAAGGGCCACGATCCCAAGTAATTTGCGCTGCGTCCGCGCTCACAGGGCCACGACCCTTTGCAAATTACGCAGGCTCCGCGCTCCCACTGCTGCGACCCCTCGTAAATTACACTGGGGACGCGCTCCCAGGGCCAGGATCCCTCGTAAATTACGCTGCGTCCGCGATACCAGGGCCACGATCCCCAGTAAATTACATTGGGGTCGCGCTCCCAGGACGCGCTCCCAGGGCCACGATCCCTCGTAAACTACGCTGCGTTCGAGCCCCCAGGGCCCCGATCCATAGTATGTTACGCTGCGCCCGCGCTCCAAGGGCCACGATCCCTCGTAAATCACGCTGCGTCCGAGCTTCCAAGGCCCCGACCCCTCGTAAATTACGCTGCGCCCGCGCTGCGAGGGCCACGACTCGCAAATTACGCGTGGTCCGCGCTCCAAACGCCAAGATCCCTCATAGATTACGCCGCGTCCGCGCTCTCAGGGCCTCCTGGGGCATGCTGGGGCGCCCAGGTCCCTCGAGTTTTGCGAAACCAGCGTTTCGCTTGAGACGTCCTCGATTTTTTGGCGCGGGGGGGCGCACCCTCCTCGAGCGGGCACGCAACAACTCTTGCGTGGCCGAGGAAGTCCGGGAAAAACCAGCGAATTAGTCGAAACATCATCGAAATTCCTGCGCGCGGGACGCGGCACGCGCGAGACATCTTCGGCATCCGCGCGCGGGACGCTCTTCCGCGTCGACGGCGGGGCTCCGGACTTGTTTTTTTTCTCTTCGAGGGTTCTGCCGAAGATGCCCCGCACCCTTTTTTTTACAAAAGAAATCGGTGGTCCGCGGACCCCCCGTTATTTATCGAGGATCTGAGCTGGGGGGCCTCTTTTCCTCGAGCGGGCACGCGCGAAACGCATGTTTTCCACGCCGAATTGGACTTTACCAAGTTTTTTATCGAGCGGAGATCCGCCGGCCTCCTTCAGGTCAACACCGGGGGTCAACAGACTTTTAAAGAGAACCCTGGGCCGGAGCCCTTTCCGGGGAAAATGCATGAGATTCGCGCTCCCGAGGCTACGATAAGCCCTCGTAAGTTGCACTGTGTTCGCGCCCCCGAGGCCACGACCCCGAGCAAAATGCGCTGGATCCGCGCCTCCGGGGCCACGACCTCCGGTAAGTTGCCCTACGTCCGCGCCTCTGGGGCCACGCTCTCTGATAGATTACGCTACTCTGGCGCCCCCGCGGCTACGATCCCCAAGGCATGAAGCCACGTTCCCGCTCCCGAAGCACAATCCCTGGTAAATGACGCCGTGCTCGCGCCCCCGAAGCCACGACCCATCGTAAGGTACACCGCGTTCGCGCCCCCGAGGCCACGATCCCTGGTAAGTTACGTTACGCAGTGTTCGCGCTCCCAAGGCCACGCTCCCGTTTAAATTGCGCCAGACTCGCGCCCCAGAGGCCACGATCCCATGCAAAGAAGCTCCAGAGAGCACCGAGACGGCCCCTAAGAGGGGCCCAAGCGGGGCAACACGAACCGGAGACTTTCTGTTTGTGCCCCGAGAAGCTCAGGAGGCCCTTAGAGACCGCCCAGGGGCCCCAAGATGCCCCAAGAGGCGCCCAAGACGCGCCCAACAAGCCTCCAAGAGGCCCAAAAGATACCCCACGAGGCCCCAAGAGGCCCCCAAGAAGCGCCCAGACCGCCTCCAAGAGACCCTCGAGAGGCTCCCCACGACACCCCAACGTACAAGAGACCTCAGACCCACAACCCAGGCACGGTAGGGGGCTGAGCCGCAAGCCACTCGGATAACGCCAACGTCTCGATATGCGCCGATGATTCCTATCCGCTCCCGCATGATGTTCCCAGATGCGCCAAAGCAGCGCCGAGACGCACCGACGCGACTCTGATGTATCCCATTATGATAGAGAGGGGGCCGGCGGCAGGGTGCAAAAGCCTTATGGATACCATTTCTCTTCGAGCACGCACAAGCAAGGGCACGTGCCGTAATTAGGCTTGCTCTCTCCTCCCTTTTCCTCCCTCCTCCCTCCTCCCCTGTCTTTCCTACCTTCCCTCCTCCCGCCTTCTTCATCTTCCCTCCCCTCCGTCCCTCCTCCCTCCTCCCTCCTGCCTCTTCCTCCTCCTCCTCCTCCTCCATCTCCCCATTTGCGGGTCGGCGCCAATTGCTCGTAGCAAGGGATTTGGCCGACGAGAAAGAGCTCAGAAGCGGAGGTTTATCGCGGCATCGGGGCGCAGCATCGGGATGGCATGGGGGCAGATGAGAGCGACCGCTGTCAGACTCCTTGCGGCTGGAACTCCGTGCGGAAGAGCCGCTGAGGTCGATCCACCCTCGCTGCGCCCCTTTCTTCGGGGGCGCACAAACATGCATCAGCGATCCATGGATTCGGCGCGCGGTGGCCGAATCCGTGGATCGGGGGAGGTGCCCTCTCCAAGATGCGGCTGCTGCCGCCTCGCTCGGCGGCGGAAGCCCGCGACTTCCCGCGGAAACGGGACCCGTCGCTAATCTTAAGTCGGGCCTGTCCCCCAGGGTGGGCCACGGGTGGGCCACAGGGTGGGCAACGGGAGGGCCAGGTCAGGGCACCAAACTAGTGCAGGAAAGCGAGCATGGGCGCAGACCGCCAGGGCAGCGCGCAGCCGGGGTGGGCCGCGCGCAGCGGGAGGACGACCAACAGTCAGGGGCGGTGGAGGGGGAGGCGGAGGAGAGCCAGGCGCCACCGGAGGGGCGGGCGCGAGGCAACGATTCGCCAGGTGGCTCAGGAGTGGATGACGTTTGGTGAATCGACTGGTGGTGGGGATGGTAGGTGGCAGTCCAGGGGCGGGCATCGCGCGTATTCGTCGGAGAGCCTCGCCGAAGACATGGACCACGGGCGCCCCTGGATACGTGTACCCATGCGACCATCCTTCGGGTGATAAGGAGGCTGGGGGGGAGGGAAAGCCAACTGACGACAACTTCGATAACTTTGATGGCGACGAGACAGCGACAATGCACGATGCTGCTGACGGTGGGAATGCATAACGGCGACTGCAATGAAGGCGACACAGCCGCGACCCGCGCGGGCCGCAAATGCTGCCAGTGGAACTGACAGAGACGAACTTCGGCTCCACACACCAAACCCCTTCGAGGCCAAATATCGATCTCACGATCGATATCACTATCGATGCCCCTATCGATCTCACAATCGATCTCACTATCAGTCCCATTGTCGATCTCACTATCGATCTCACTTTCGCGCCACCGACGGGGCACCCCCGCCACCGACGGGACATCGATCTCACAATCGGTCTCCCGATCGATCTCACAATCGATCTCATAGTCGATCTCACCACAGATCTCACCATCGATCTCGCTGCTGACCTCACCCTATCGATCTCACCATCGATCCCACTGCCGATCTTACCATCGATCTCACCGTCGCGCCACCGACAGGGCACCCCCCGCCACCAACGGGGGACCCCCGCACCACCGACGGGAGGAGGAGGAGGAGGAGGAGGAGGTCCGTAGCCATTTTGGCTCAAGCCATTTTGGCTCAAGTAAACCATTTCTCGAGGTGGTTACAGTGACCAAATCCTTTGGGGCCCCACAGGTGGCTGCCCAGCCAGGGGACCCCCGCTTACCCTTTCCTCTCAGCTAGTTTAGGTGCTGGCACGAGAGGCCCATTCATACGCGATAACGTACTTCTCTTCACATTCGGTTTCGACACCGTACTCAGTGCCATGGGAAAACAGGGCGCCAAGAGCGGCCCACGCGATTTCTCTTGGGAGTGCAGCGAGTGTAAGGCCACTACCAGTCGTAACCTTCATTGGTGCTGGCGTTGTGGCTCTCACTGGACCAAGACAGCTACGGGGTGGACGGACCACAGTGGCGGCAGCAGCCCCCGCGGGTCTGGACCAG